CTTGATATTATATAGGTATTTCAACGCTACCCACTTTGATAAAGTTATACACGAAACAAGATATAATATGCATGGTTCGTTGGTGCTGATGGCATTTGAATTGCTTCAGGTAAACTGAATATTGGAAAAAGGATTTTCAAGCAGTGGGGAAATGGCAAGCCTATAATGTACTGATTTCTACAATATGCTTTCTTTCTAAATATTGTTGCAAAACAACATATTATTGAGTCATACAGTTAAGTATAAAAAATTATAGCATGATGTGTCTCCTTGTGTTCCATTTTTTCCTTACTTAAAAGCACTAACATTACATCATAATAAAATATAAAGCTGGAGTTTAAAAGAGAACCCTAAACTGTAAAAGCCTACAGTGTACACTTTTGGGCTTGAACCTCTTGTGGCTATATCATTTTATGCATAATCCTGCATTCCTTGTGCTGGATTTTGATTCAAGAAGTTGAATAACCATTACAAGAAAGATCAAGGTGGGCAGCCATTGACTCTAACTTTGTTGCATTACAAGAATGATTCAAGAGCTAGTTTATTCATACTTGGCAACAATAATAATCAGAATATTGGTTTTAAAACCACCCTATAAATCTTAGGTAGAAGGGCTGGGGAAGACTTATATCCTGAAATCTGGGAGACCTGTTGCTAATCCTAAAACATGAAATTAAACACGAGTATAATGAGGCAGTCTTCAAATGCCATTCTCAAATTGTCATCTTTATTCTTCTTTGATGGGCCTGCCCTAAAGCTGCAGGGGGTGGGGGGTGGGTATTAACGAATGAAATAATGAGAACCAAACTGAACCAATGTTATTTTTGCTACTTATACATAACAAATGTTTTCCATAACACAGAGAAATTATCATAGCATCTAGGGTATTATGTGCTAAGTGGTGGGAGGGTTCTGATCATTAATCATTAATTAAAGAATTGAACTATACACTGATGGCAAAAATAACTATGTTGAGGTACTAAAGGAAAAAAAGACAGAAAACTTATCCTTTTGATTTTAATTGGTTATTTTAGTTTTGAAAGACAGAATTATTAACTGGTATGATTAATTGGTATGACTAAGAGAAACATTATAAAAACTACTGGATTTAAAAACAAAAAGAAACATTAAATATCAAAATACGTGAAAGCTCTATTAGATTAAACCAAAGATCTATCTAAGCCAGTATTGCATTTCTACTAGTAGCCGAACAAGTGCTGTTTGGAAACCCACAATCAAGACATGATTTCCCTGTTTGCCATCCCCTTGCCCAGCAACTAGTATTCAGAGGTATGTTGCCTCTGAATATAGAGTTGAGGGTTGTTAACTACAATAGCTATCTACTATGAATTTATTGTTGTGACTCAGATAACCCAAGCTAGCACTGTCTCATCAGGTCTTGGGAGCTAAGCAGGCTCGGCCCTGGCTAGTATTTGGATGGGAGACCACCAAAGAATACCAGGGTTGTGACACAGAATCAGGCAATGGCAAACCACCTCTGAACATCTCTTGCCTTGAAAACTCTACAGTGTCACCATAGGTCAGCTATGACTTCACTTACTCAGAGCTATTAAGGTTGGGGCTTAAACACTATTCCAATCACTCGCTGCCACCATTCATTCATATCCTATAATATATAGACCAGTGTATTAAATCACTGTTTTTCCATTGTTTGTCACTCACCTGGAGATTGGCCAAGCTGGTTCCCCAGGAGGAAATGGCTGGTTTGGAGGGTAGAGTCTGTGGAGCTGTCTGAGGTCCCACCCCTCCTCAAACCCCAACTTCTCCAGGCTCCACCCCTCAAATCTCCAGGAATTTTCCAACCTAGAGCTGACAATCGTGTCTCTTTTCAGCCAACCATCAACCTACTGTTATCTCCCCTCTGACCTCAGGTTTCCAACACTTCCCCTCTCCCTGCAGCCTCTACCTAGTAAATATATTGTTGATTGATTGATTTGATTTTTACTCCGCCCTCCCCACCGAGGCAGGCTCAGGGCGGCTTACATAAGAAACAATAGATAAGACAACAATATAAATATCCATATAAAATACACAAAAGTCATTAAAACCATTAAAATAACGATGGCAGTATAGCCAGGGATCATTTTGTAGAAAAAGAGGTGCAGGAGCTTATTAGCATAACTCATTAGCATAACTTATTTGCATATGTCACACCCCCTGACATCACCGGAAGTGTGTCAGAAGGCAACACTTACCGCTCAGGCTCCACTGGACTGTTTCGGATTGCTAGCTATTGTGTGGGGGGAATGTGCAGATCTGTCCTCGCAGAGGAGAGAGAGCTTGTACCTGAATAAAACCTGGTCTTAAAGGTGCCACTGGACTGTTTTGGACCGGGGTGGCACGGGGGCTCTGCAATTTACCTGGCTGCTTCTTGCTCTGACTGAGGGCTGCTGGGAGCAGGGGGTGGGACTTGTTGGATGTGCCCGTCCCCTGGGCTCCTTACTGCCGGAGCTCCGCTCCTGTGCACTCCTGCAGGAAATGACCCCTGGGTATAGCTGTGGTAAAGTGCATTCAGACAGAATTGGCACGGGGCATAGATGATAACACAGCTCCTTACCTAAATGCCTGGTGAAAGAGCTCCATTTTTGCGGTCCTTCCAGTAAGTTGGAGCTGCCACGGAAAAGGCCCTGGTCCTGGTTGATACCAGCCTGGTGTCCTTGGGACCAGGGCGGGCCAGACGATTTTGTGACCCTGACCATAGTGCTCTCTGGGGAACATGTGGGGAAAGGCAGTCCCTCAGGTAGGTAGGTCCCTGACCATAAAGGGAAGAGGAACATACCCAGCCCCCAGCCAATGGCACACGAGTATTCTTGAGTGGCGGTTGATGGGCCAATATCTGATGGAGCACACAGCACAGCCAATGGGAGAGCTGGAAAGTGCCAGGCCAAAGTAGGCCTTGAAAGGGTCTCCTCCCCCCATCTTTTCACTGACAGAACCAAGCTAGCAATGGCTACTGAGGGGAAAAATTAGCCCAACAGCCATAACCTAGGTCTGGCAGACCCTGCTCTGAGGTACTAACTGCTACGCCACACTGAATGTCCTAGTGGGGCTGTTGCTGGTGAACAGGAGCAAGCAGCCAGGCCTCGTAAAGTCATGCCAGTCAGGTGTTATCAAGTCATCTAGAGGGCGCTGCCAGGCCTAGGGTAGCCAACCTCTAGGTGGAGCCTGAAGATCACCTGATATCACAATTAAACTCCAGACAACAGATCTCTGTCCCCCTGGAGAAAATAAATGCTTTGGAGGGTGGACTTTATGGGATTCTATTCACCTGAGGACTCTCCCCTCCCCAAACTTTGGCTTACATAGACTCCACCACAAAATCTCCAGGAATTTCCCAACCTGGAGCTGTCAACCCTAGTCAGGACTGGCCCCAATGAATTCCTCACAAAGGCCAAAGTAGGCCTTGAAAGGGTCTCCTCCCCCCACCTTTTCACTGACAGAACCAAGCTAGCAATGGCCACTGAGGGGGGAAATTAGCCCAGCAGCAGGAGGAGAAGGGAATTACTTGATGGCTGCTGGCTCAGCTCAGTAGCCAGCCAGCCTTGGAGGAGCCAAGCAGGAGAAGTGGCAGCAGTAGAAGCCTCTTCCTGAGCAGGGAACAGTAGTTTCATTAGCCAGTCAGATGCAGAAGCATCTTCGTCAGGAGAGACAGCCGTTTTGGCAGTTTGTTCTGACAGGGAACAGTGACTGAGGCAGCAGAGAGCGGGGAAGAGGAACATACCCAGCATCCAGCCAATGGCACGCGAGTATTCTTGAGTGGCGGTTGATGAGCCAATAGCTGATGGAGCACACAGCACAGCCAATGGGAGAGCTGGAAAGTGCCAGTATCTTAGGGCTTTATATATATCAGATCAGATATTGCTTGATTTTACTGAATGAATAACCTATTTACAATGAACTTGTATTTGAGTAAAAAGAGAGTTTTAAATCATGTATATAACAGAAGACAGTTGGGAGTGCATTCATATACATACATCCATAAAAGAAATCTTGATTGCAGAGAAGAACAGAAGAAATATTTTAGCATGTTGTGGAGTCATCCTTAAGTGTCTAGAGCCTTGACTCTCCTGTAAAAGAGGTGTCATAATTCCATATGTCCTCAATTTCTAGTCTTTCTTTTATTGCACAGTATTGAAATGTACTACGAGTAATTAAGTTTATTATCTGTGTCCTAATGTGAGCTGTTCTTTGCACAGATTACTACTGTGCAAAAAGAGAGAGGTCATTTAGAAAGAGTCCTGGAGTCTGCCCTTTATTACAATAGTGCTTTCAAAGATAATGGTCCAGACCTACAGTTTTTGCAGTCTGTTCAAAGGACATGTCAGTTTACCAAGGCATTAGCTGACATTCTAATAACACCAATTAAACAATTTGCCTGAGACACTTGTCCCCAAAGCAGAGATTTGGGCACTAAATATTATGTTTTACTGTTGCTGAGATGAGAATATAGAATTTTCTCAATAATGTCTGCTTGGAGATTCTTATATTTATACCAATTATAGCAAGTATTTTCCCCATTTTAATGAGCTAATACATACCTTAAAAGGTTATATAAGTTATCAATTTCATTCCATTGTTCATAATCTGATGATTTTATTGTATTGAAGTACATAGCTTAACATTAAACCATTCATATTAGTACATATAGTTTTATAAAGCAAATAACTTTTGTTTATCAGTAAATGGAATTGTTAATGATCATTTGATAGTCTCTTGGTACTATTCAAAAGAAATGATTTCATCCAAAGAATTGGTTCTGCTGCTGTTATTCTGCATATGCTAATTTTCTTGATTAATTTTGAGAACATCTGCATATAATTCCTGCATGTTTAATGGTAGTGAGATCATGCTGCTTTTCAAATCACTGCAGTAGACTTTACTTTCTAGACAGTCTAGAATTTATATCTAATTGGGATGCCAAACTTACAAAGGTACAAAGCCTAAGTGTGTAATTACGTAATTTTCTCTTGATCTTTCAGAGTCTTTCTGCGAGCAATTAATCAGTATGCAGATATGCTAAACAAAAAATTTCTTGATCAAGCCAACTTTGAGCTACAGGTAAGTAGTGTGAATATTGTTTTCACTGCTCTGTGCTGATTTAAGTTGTCTTCCTTCCCAGCCTTTAACTTTGTATTTCTTACCTATTTTATTTTTAATTGGTTAATTTCAGGTGGGTAGCTGTGTTGATTTGAAGCAGCAGAACAGAGTTTGAGTCCAGTGGCACCTTTAAGACCAACACATTTTTATTCAAGGCATAAGCTTTTGTGTGCAAGCACACTTCTTCAGTGCTTACACATGAAAGCTTATACCTTGAATAAATGTTTGTTGGCCACTGGATTCAAATGTTTAATTGGTTACTGAATTTGCCACTCATGCTTTCAGTAGGTTGCCAGCATGACTGAGTGCTGTTGGATTTAGATAAAAGCAGAATCTAGGGCTCACAAATAGCCCCCTTAAACAAGAAAATGTTCACTTTGGTCACCTAAACTTTACAGAGCTGTTTCATTTAGCCTGAGGTCTAGTCAAAATTGAATGTGTGTATGGAATAGGCAGAAAAAGTCTAGAGGGTATGTCACAAACATGGGGCAACATTTTTATTCACAAGTAGAGGGAGTCTATAGAGTCTTAGCAGCAAAGAACTTCCTGTGCTTGATGACTGGGCAAAAAATAACAAGTTCCATTGCCATCTTCCCTGTTTTTATCTATTGTTTCTAGGGTTGCCAGGTCCCCTTGTTGCACTTGCAGGGGGATTTAGGGGGCATTCTGGTGGCGGACAGAGACATTGTATGATGTGCTGACGTCACCCAGAAGTGATGTCAGCTCATCAGGGTCAAACTCCATGGTAAAAATGGCCTCAAACCATAGAGTTTTCCCCAAAAAGCAGAGCATCAGCGCCCCCCCCCAATGTCACTGACACACTGACATCACTTCCAGGTGCATCGCACATGGCATTGGCGTGGAGGTAATTTCCTCCCACTGGCCACCTGGTCAGCAGTGGGCAGGAGCCCCAAAAATTGGGGGATCCCCTGCTCCCACCGGGGAATGGGAACCTGAATTGTTTCCATGCACACATACATACTAGAATGTATATATAGAACCTGTAAGAAGGAAATGGAGATGAACTGCTTTAAGGGCAAATTCTTCATTGTTTCAAGACTGGTTTCTCTCCCTTCCATCATGCTATTTTTGTCAGTTTAGGTTGTTTTGATCTTGTTTTGCTCAAGATGATGTCAGTCCTGCCTCCTGTGGAATAATGCAAAGGCAGGTAGAGAAAAAGGCCAAGACAAATCTACAGACAGCAGAAGCAGGTCTCTTGAGTGTTTCACTGTTAGAACAGTGGGCACTCAATAAAATTGCTGAGCAGTCGGGTTAGAACAGATAAAAGGAAGTACTTCTTCACCCAAAGAGTGATTAACACATGGAATTCACTGCATCAGGAGGTGATGGTGGCTACAAGCATGGACGGCTTCAAGAGGGACTTAGATAAACATATGGAGCAGAGTTCCATCAGTGGCTATTAGCCACAAGGTATAAATAGGAACTCTCAGGCTGGGGCAAGTGATGCTCTGTCTTCTTGGTGCTTGGGGGGGCAGTGGGAGGGCTTCCAGTGTCCTGGCCCCACTGATGGACCTCCTGATGGCACCTGGTATTTTTGGCCACTGTGTGACAGAGTGTTGGACTGGATGGGCCTTTGGCCTGATCCAACATTGGCTTCTTTTATGTTCTTGACAATGTGAAGTATCAGCTGCCCTTTTAGACGTACTGGGGTAAAGATCCTTGGCTGTTGGGATAAGGGTTCATGTGTTTCCTCACTTTAGTTTGAGCCAGGTGATGGTTCACAAGCTAAATCACTTCATGCCATCTCTCAAGTCACTGTGAGTTGTGTTTCTGAGAAAGAAGAAGAAAAAGAAGAGATTGGATTTATGCCCCACCTTCCACTACCAAAAGGAGAGCGGCTTACAAACTCCTTCCCCTTCCCCTCCCCATAAGGTAGGTGGGGCTGAGAGAGAGAAACTGCTCTTTCAAGAACAGCTCTGACAGAACTATGGCTTGCCCAAGGTCATCCAGCAGCTGCAAGTGGATGAGTGGGGAATCAAACCCAATTCTCCCAGATTAGAGTCCACACACTTAGCAACTACACCAAACGGGCCCTGGAAAATTCAAATAGTGGCCTGCTTGGAAGCTGGCAGCAGTTTTTTAGATGATGATCTCCAGTTTCTGGTTATGAGGAGAGCCTTGGTTCCTATCCTGTAGACATGAAATTATCATTAGTGGTCAAAGGCTCTGCTCTGGCAGGGAGAGGAACAACTCAGAAATGTTGAAAAGTTGTATCTGAGTTAGAACTGATAGGTGAGTCTTTGGTGACTAGTGTCATCCCTGTATTCACATTAAGTGCTTTTCGGGACACAATCTACAAAAGTAGCTCAATGTGATACTCATAACTGAATGACTGATCAATTATACCGTGGATGGATAAATCTGGTTGTATGAATCTGTCTTAAATATTGCTGTTACAAGAAATAAACTTGATGTGTACCTGTTTATTGTAGATCTTTAGTCGCTGAGTTTTGATGCAGCTATATTAAGTGATGCAAATTATTTATAACCACATCTTAAAACTTTAAAAGTATTCATTACAAAAATTATAGTTGAATAACACTATTTGCCCTTGATTCTGATATTATTCAAATCCTACAACACTTAGTCATGCTAGCAACCTACTGAGAGCTTGAGTGTTCTAATTAATTTGCATATGAATTTATCTTTAGTCTCAATCAAGCAAAAATAGGATCACTTCCTGTTTACTCGACATGGAATATTCAGAAACCTCTCTTCTGTGTTCTGCTGAAACTAAATTCTGTGGCTGTGCTTCAGATCTTTTACATTGTGTGGCTTTGTTAGAGTTCTGTAGAACCATAAAGAGCAGCCTTTCACGCGTGTTCCTCAGCCTACTATTGAGAAATTTTCTTTGGGTAATTTTCCTTGACTTTATGTGCAACACAAATCGACCTGAATGAACTCCTCATTTGTTTTTGTTTGAACCATCACAAAATCTTTGGTTTCAATGTAAGTGCAGACGGGCAAGCTTGTTTAATGAGAACTGTGTGTGATGCTGCAGTATTCAGTTACTATGAATGAAAAGAGCTTGGTGTCTTCTTATTTATATATTTTCAGTAGTACAGATATCCCCCAAATTTAATACTGACTAATAATTTTTGTGCTGTTTATGATTTGCAGCTTTGGAACAACTATTTCCACCTTGCTGTTGCTTTTCTTACCCAAGAATCACTGCAACTTGAGAACTTTTCAAGTACCAAAAGAGGCAAGATACTTAACAAGTGAGTTGCTTTCTAAGTATAAAATCATGAACAAGAAGTTGAGAGTTGATTAACATAATATTATTTTAGCTGCTTTACAAAATTCAGAATCTATTGAGATGCAATCATAGTATGATGAAAGGTTAGTTCAGAAACCCTGAATCAAGTATTTACCATATTCTTTTGACTCTACTCAAGATCCAAAATTATAGGATGAAGCAAATGTTTATCTGACAATATATTCATGGAATCAAGGCAATTCGGAATTAAAGTATTAGAAAGCTCTACTTTTAAAGCCACTTTAGGTTTGCGCTTATTCTAATCTCATTACGTGAGTGTTGCATTACTGCCTTAATTCTTAAAGACCTTTTGTAACTAATCTTCCTAACTGCTGTGGTTTTGGGGGAATCAAGGCAATTCGGAATTAAAGTATTAGAAAGCTCTACTTTTAAAGCCACTTTAGGTTTGCGCTTAATCTAATCCCATTACATGAGTGTTGCATTACTGCCTTAATTCTTAAAGACCTTTTGTAACTAATCTTCCTAACTGCTGTGGTTTTGGGGTGTGTGTGTGTGTGTGTGTGTGTGTATGTGTATATATATATATATATATAGTTTCTTAGACTATAATAAAGTATTCAGTTTTTTAAAACTGTAGTCTGAGAAATAATAGATAGGGAAGGTTTTCAATATTTTTGTGAGGGCCGCTAAAAGTTGTACTCCAGCCCCCCTCCCCGGTATTTAGAGCACTGTCTTGCAAATATACTCCTTAGGGAAGCACCATCCACCTTGTGCTTCCCCTGTTCATCTTTGTGTGCTGAGGGCAGGCCTGCAGAGGAGAAGTTTCTGGCAGCTTCTAGACCTCTAGTGTTCATTAGGGAGTACCCCAGTAGCGGGGGCACTGGCTCATTTAAGAGGGGAATCCTTTTGTGGAACTCCTAATAATTTCTCCTAGAGGGCAGCCTTTAATCTTAAGGCATGGTCTTGTTGGGCCTTGGGAGCAAAAATGGCGCAGGCCTTACGTGCAGCCGGATTATGCCTTTCACCTAAACATTGAGAATGTTCATCATTAGTCACCATCTTGGTGCCATAGTCCAGACACTTGTTAAGAAATGCCATCCTGAAGGATGGTAGAAGAAGTAAGTCTGAGGTAAATTGTCTCACAAAGACTCCTGTGGTGAGAGCAAAGCAACGGCAGAAAAAGGACTCAGGATGTTCCCCCCTCCCCTTCGTCTAGGCTTGCCAAGTCCCCCCAGGGGGCGGGGAAACCCCTGCCCCAGAGGCCTGTTCCCCGCCGCCAGCAGATTGGGTCCTGGGGGGAACCCCACCCTGACGTGCATGTCACCCAGAAGTGATGCGACCACGGCAGGCACGCTGAGGCAGGGCCACGGTCATCTGAGGGAAAACTCTATGGTTTCCCCTCGGATGGTTGTGGCCCTACCCCCAGTGTGCCCGGCGTGGTCGCGTCACTTCCGAGTGATGTGGATGCGGCGCGCGCGCACTCCAGCCGCCAGCCGGGAGTCCCCTGCTACGGCAAAATTCAGACTTGGCAACCCTACCTTCGTCACATGACCTTTGAGTGGGAAAATACAGCCACTCCTAATGCCGAGGGGTGGGGGAGTACTCAATCTTAAAAGTTCTAGAAGCTGTCAGAAACTTCTCTGCAAATGAAAAGGTAAAACTCTCTCAACAATTTTTTTTATCAAAGACAAATAATAATGCTCATAGAAATATATTAAATATACTGAATATATAAACACATACAATACTTCTAGAAAATGTAATGTACATTATAAAGTCTCACAAACTACAGAACGATAATTCTTGAAAGACACACTATCCTACATAGTCCACAATCACAAGCCCTCCAAGGGTCCATAGAACAGTCCATAGAAAAAATACTATCCAGTGTACCCCAAT